CCCCCCTATAGCGCCGGCCCTGTACTCCAAGTTTCAGTTGAACCGAAACATTCACATATAATTTTACATGTAAAATTTTATGTGGAATTCAGTAGACTAACATTTCACCGAAAATTTCATATGTGACATTTAGAATTTTCGCATAATAAAATATATGAAATTTGAGTTTCACTGCATATTTTTCACTTGTGAAATTAGAGAACCATACTGATTCAGTATATGTGGGATTAGAACATTTCTTATGTGAAATCTAAATTACTTAGAATGCTATACAGTCGCTGAATTCCGCACCATACATAAGAAATTTGAGCTCAACCACGCAGCTAAATAATAGGTTATAGGAGTCAATTTTTAGCGAGTCTAGTATTAAATGAGTAATGAGTAATGTGAAATCATTTGTTAATTTCCTTCTACGAAATTAAAAGAAGTGGGAGTTACAGGTATATATTTTGCTGACAAATGATATCAAAATTAATTTATATACGCATGCAACAGTTTCCGGCTATATAGATTATAATTTATACTGTATATACAGGCATACAGCCTTTTACAGATTATACTTTCATATATAACAATATACGTGCAGCTGTCTGTTTTTGGCTACAAAGATTAATTGTGGTGCTCCGTCCGTCTGTACGTATAATAATATATAGGCCTTATTCTTAATGTACAAACTTGCCATAAATCAACTAAACTGATCGAGTTTCTCTTAAATTGTCCTAACTAACGTCGCTTAAGCCACGGTCAAACGAGGATGAGAGTTGATGAGTTGGCAGTCACGCATTGCACTAAATCACTGAATAATGAGATCTCGATAGTGTTGGCCGTTGGGAAAGCATTGAAAGTTTGAAACAGCTAACCAAGGTCGCGTTACCGTCCAACTCTCATGCACTCTCATCTTCATTTGATCCAACTTTAAACTTGTAACTCTCGTACCATACGGCGAGTTATCATCCAAGAGTCGGCCTTTTCATTGTAGCAATGAAACTTTAGACTATATATGAAAAGTTGCTTTGCTTTGTAATATTCGGGCCTCAATGATATTGTCATCAGTCTAATATTAAGGAACCCAGAGAGGATATAATTTTGACTGAAGAACGTAAAGAACGTAACAGTCGTCATAGATTAGCTATGTAACATGCTTACATGCATGATGATTTCAGAACACTCTAGAATTGCATAATTGCACTAAATGCATGTTATACTAAAAGAACTGTCGAGATGATCGTTTTGCGCACGTATGACGTGTATAGATGTGTCAGTACTTGAGTTAGCACTTTGACGCCCGCATTTTCGCTGGGTGTAACATTTTGTGGGTTGTGGTCTACAGGAGGTCATCATGTATAAATTTGGCCCGCCAAAATCCTGCCCGTTGCAAATCAGGCCCCCCATAAAACTGAGGGCCTGCCACGCAGGCTATGCTAAGTATACTAACTTCAACTAAGCAAAGGACTGGGACTAGGACGTAGTCCTAAATAAATAAACTTCCACTTAAGATTCTCACGACGTAGACATTTAAACTATAAATATTTACATACTTTTGAAAATGAATTTAAAAGAGACGTGTGAATCCATTACCGTTTGCTATGCTCTTGTATCCACGACGGCAAAACTCTTGTGAGGTTGTCGACGTTTGGTGGACGACGAGCAAATCGAAAGAGAGACACATGCACACTTCAAAAACTATTGCCAATTTACTTCCGATTGCCACCCTAAAAATATGACGTCGTTGATATTGACTTATTGAGCTATCTACTTATTTAGGACGACATCCTAGTCCCAGTCTTCTGCTTAGCCCTGACGTCCTAGCTGACGTCGACGTCGTAGATCTTAAGCTACTAAATAATTCATGAGGAAAACACAAAGGTGTCAAAGAAAAATCATAAGCGTGTCGTATCTTTATATGTGATAGAGATTTCCTTTGATTTACATAGTACATAAATAGCCGAATGACAATGATAATTGTATACCTGACAAGACGATGTTATGTTATATTATATCTGTTTTGTAAATATACATGCAGCATTGAATATTTGAACGTATGTATATGAATGGTATAAAAATAAAGATACAACATACTCTCTCGTTGTACGTTGAATCGTAGCAGGATACCTGCAAGACTGTAACTGAATAGCGATATGCATAGGTGCAGAAACTATCATTTGTGTAACTTACACTGAGTCGAAAGAACTAATTGATGATAATATTCTGGGGTAATTGGTGTCCACTCTCCGCAGAGGCTTCTTAAAGCAAGATTGCATGGGCAGGCATAGGACGGAGCGCGGGAGCACTTCCGCACTCCAGTCCTCTTCCTCTCCCCGCGCGCCCATCCCTATATTTAAGAATAATTTACCCTTGTTACCCTGCTTTATACCACGACTAGAAGCATTGAAAAGCACAGAATAGGGATGCTATAGAAGCCTCTGCAGAGGGGACTGCCTCAAGCATAAAGTCCTGTATTAAAATTGATCTTTCTTAATCTTAATCTAGCAATACTTAAATGGTCTCGTGCTGTACTAGTGAGGACTAGGTTCTTCTGTATCATAGCGTGCATGGTCACTGTAGTGTGGTATAATATCCAGTATGCATCAAATAATTTGAGATTATGTGGTGGATCTGTTATTGTTTTACACCATTGTGGATTGTCCTCCTAAAGAGAAAATGTGGTTTCCTTAATGATTTGAATCAAAACAACTACCTCTTTCTAGTTTCGCAGAGGTTCGCATTAAGTTTTTGAAGAGGGAGAAGAGAGCACGCAGAGAGTAATGGGAAGAGAACGGGCGCCTGAAAGGGCGTTTCTTTCCATTTCCCCCATTAAAGGCATGCTTACATCTCCTCCTGCGGAAACTTGATGTAAATTGTTTTAAAAGCTGAAAGAAGTTCTGCAGAGAAGTCAAAGCAACTAAGCAAGATAAAATTCTATAAAAAATGGTCCAAACATTAACGCGTTTAGTTTTGCATCGGAAAGATTCCCCAATTCCCCCACTGACAGGTAAAATCGTCCAGCGTTAAGTTCGTTTTCCACAAGCGCTACGCGAGAAGAATTTCGCTTAGCGAAAAACGGGCTTTGAACGATGAATAACGTCCGAATCGTTGCAAAAATAATAGATGATATAGGTATTATATTATACGAACAAGCTTTCGTTGGTACAACTACCTGAAAAATATATAGGGAGAATTTTGACGTTTCGAGCGAAGGCCCTTCGTAACTTTCAGCAACTCCAGACGAAGGGCCTTCGCTCGAAACGTCGAAATTGTTCTTATATATTTTCAGGTAGTTGCATCCCTACCAATGAAAGCTTGTTCATTTGATTGGCACTATCTACACTGGCAAAGACAGTTCAGTATTATATTATACGTTTTCTAACCGTATGGGAATTTATGAATTTTAGGATTGACGATTGAAGTGAAACACTAAAACCAGGGTCACAAAATAGAGACCGTACAGAAAGCCGACTCAGCCAAAAAAGCTTAACCGCCGTCACGCCATAATTCACAATGATTCATCATTAAAAACCACTCGCCATGTCCCTAGCCATGCAGTGCGCTTATGAGAAGCATGAACATATTTGTTACGCGGTCCAGCCATTGAACTATAAATAAACTGGAAGGCTAACTGCTATGATGAAGGCCTATGATTTGATGAAGCCAAAATAGTTTTTCTGAGTTATGAGCAGAAATACTTGACCCCAAACGTCGGGCAATAT